GGATTTTCTCTGGCTGTTTTCTCTGGCTGACTTTTGTTTTTGTTTGTATGTTTGTTTACATAAAATAAAAGGTCCATAATTACCCAATGTCTTCCCAACCCTGAAAACGCCAAGGAAAAAAACAGCAAACAGAATACTACTGTATGATTTACTTGGGCTTCTGCCAATTTTCAGGCTATACGTTTCTGAGATCTATGTGAGGAGAAAAGATAATCTTTTCTATGTTAAAATGCTAAAACTCTCAAAAATAATTATGACCTGTTGTATGTTCAATTTCAACACAGAGCACTAACTACTGACTGTTATAAAAATATATATATATTTGAAAAAAAAAAATAGAGAGGGATAAAAAATTATCTATCTACCTTTCACATACCTCTTAGAATCCTGTTTTTCACTTTTTCACACACACACACACACACTCACACACACACACACACACATACACACACACACACATTTCCTTAGCAGACTCACCATGAACTCTACTGTTAATGGAGAAGATTATCAGGTCTTTGAAATGAAAAGCAAAAACCTTATTTATAGTCAGTCTAAATTTCAGCATTTTGGAAAGCTCTGTGTCTTGTAGCTCTTCCCCAACCTTGTTCCTTCCTACTAGTTATTAAGAAATTGTTGCTACATTCCTTCAGTTGCCACACACACTGACATTTTGTATGTCTGAAGATTAACACACTTTGTTTTGCAGTGGCTAAAAAAAAAAACCTTCCCTTCCCTTCCCTTCCCTTCCCTTCCCTTCCCTTCCCTTCCCTTCCCTTCCCTTCCCTTCCCTTCCCTTCCCTTCCCTTCCCTTCCCTTCCCTTCCCTTCCCTTCCCTTCCCTTCCTTCCCTTCCCTTCCCTTCCCTTCCCTTCCCTTCCTTCCATTCCCTTCCCTTCCCTTCCCTTCCCTTCCCTTCCCTTCCCTTCCCTTCCCTTCCCTTCCCTTCCCTTCCCTTCCCTTCCCTTCCCTTCCCTTCCCTTCCCTTCCCTTCCCTTCCCTTCCTTCCCTTCCCTTCCCTTCCCTTCCCTTCCCTTCCCTTCCCTTCCTTCCCTTCCCTTCCCTTCCCTTCCCTTCCTTTCCCTTCCCTTCCTTTCCCTTCCCTTCCCTTCCCTTCCCTTCCCTTCCCTCTCACCTTGCCTTTTCTTTTTTTTTTTTTTATTTCTCTCATAATAACAACAGCAACCCCAAAACATGGAAGAAAATAAATAATACAAACAAAACTACTGATAGGTCTGACATAATCATATGTAAATGATTACACTCAATTTTTTCTGTAACAGGAACAGCTTGGGAAAGGCTGAGTGAATTATTTAACTCTTCTGAAAACTGAGAATCTGTGCATACAGATGTCAATTATGCTTGGATTTGTTCCTGCCTGTAAATATGCTTGAGACTAATTAATGGAGCTAAAATCGGAGCTAGTTTGTTGAATTGAACTGCAAGTTTCCATAACAGGAAAAATTTATATTAATTAACTAATTTAATTTCTGTCTGAAGAGGAACAAGAAGTAGAAAGTACAAACATTTACGAAGCTACATTTCTATGGATTTAATTCTTGTTGTGTAAGACTAAATGTATACATACTAACAGAAGAAATTTAGAGCTCCAGTGATAGGGTTTGTGACTATTTGCAGTGTATTATCTGGTAGCCTTCCCCCCTCTTCCCCCCGCCCCCCCCCCCCCCCGTATTTCTTAGAAGAAGAAACATTTCTGTTTCTTTTTTTGTTTGTTTTGATTTTTTTTTTTTCCTGAAAACAACAAGACAATTTTATTTTCTCACTTATAGAATTTATTTCTAATTAAACTCAGTAGGAAGCATCAGCCACAAAATAAATTAATAAATTAATAAATTAATTAATTAATTAATAAACAAATAAAAATTTGTAGACTGACTCTGGAGATAGACAGGTTGGTACTTAAAACAAAAACAAACAAAAAAAAACAGTCCTCTTTGCAGAGATGACAGATACAGTTGGAACTTACAATTGTCCTTACTGTTCCGATGGAATTTCCTGTTCTGTTTTAATTCCAATTACTATCAAAATAGATTTTGGGGATAAATAAATAAATACACATACATATATTTACATAAAACCAGTATAAATATATGTATAATGATTCATTAATCTTTAGTTATTACGTAATCATTCATTATATGTATACATAATGTGTACATTATGTACATATGTGCACATTATACACAACATATGTATATATGTTACATATATACACAAATAATTATATATATTATATTATAATACATATGTATATATAATGATTACCTGAAATAAAATTAAATTACTAATACTATGTTTGTTGATGTGACATTTCAGGTAATTTCTTTCAGTCATAACATATTTGCTTTTTTTTTTTTCAATTTTTAAACTTATTTTGTAGGGTTATCTTTAAGGATAACATTATGTCAATTACATTTTTAATATTAATTATTATTTTTTGAGAAAGAAATCATTTATAACATTTAAATTTAATAGTATTCAAGTTAAAATTCCCATTTACTGCTGGACAAAAAATATTTTAATGACATATATCATTACATGTAATTATTACTTTAAGTTATAATGTAATATGAGTGCTCTTAGATATCCTACAGTCTTATTTTGTAGCAAAAGTGCATTTCCTATAATGTATTATATTCTTTATTCTAACCAAACATCACAAGAAATATAGTCTAATGAGAAAATCTACCTGGAGGGAAATAAATAATTAAATTAAAATATAAAAATATATATTTATGTTTGTTTATATATAAATAAAATAGAGCACATACTGTACTAAGATTTCTCCAACATTTATTGGACTTGATTTTTATCTCTATACTTAACTTTTTATCTCACCTTTATCTACATTTTGATACAAACAGATATGAGAGAAAGGTTTGCCCATATGTTTTGTAGTTGTAGTTATTGGAATTTAATATAAAATTAACTATTTTTCAGTGTACATTACTGTGAACCTGATTAATTGATATATGAAATCATTAATTCCAGTTCATTTAAAATGTTATAAAAGTTCACTTTCACCTTCTTCTTGCCACTACCACACTTAGATACTTTCACATTTTCTGTATGTTTTTTAATTGCAGTAGTGCTTCTATTTTGGATAGTTTCTTGTTGAGAACTATAATGCTTCTTTATTCAAATGTTATTTTTATAGTCTGTTCAACATCTTACAACTGACAGAATCTTATGTATTTTGAAAAGAATCCTTTTTATATACTAAGGAAACAACAAAACCAACAAAATATAAAAACTGTAATTCAACATAAGAAGGCCAGATAAACTGTGTGCCAACATCAAATCTGTTTTGTGTCTGAAAATTGAAATCATTCAAAATCAAGCATAGTTTTCTTCCTCACAAGTAACCATTGATCTTCATAATAAAAGATTTTAAATTTTGATCTTTATGAGAAGGGGAAATTATTTTCAATGTTCATGTAGAATTATTAAAAAAGTACATTTTCAGATGAATTTGGATGAAAATGAATAACAAGTGAAAGCAAGTTTTCTAAGTAGCCTAGTATCTACATTATCACTTGGCTTTCTACTAGATGTTTTACTAAAATTATTTTTGAATCTATTGCATCCATTTACCCTGTGGTAAACTGCATCAGGTACAAGTAACAAGCAACCATGCTATGTCACGTATTTACTTAAACATATTAACACAAGCCAAGCTTGTCCTTCATATAAGAAGTATCTCTAATTATTTAGAGAAGTGATGTTGCCATCTTCAGCCATCTTCAGAGGGACTTTATCATCACATATTATGTGGTATCTAATCTTATAGATATCACATAATAGATATAATCTTATTATATCTAATAATATCTAAATTAAAATGCCTGTATGTTTTGTAAATACTGTATTGGATCACAGTTGTTTTTGAAGTGCGATCTTTACCTTGAAGAATTATGAAGCAATCAATAAAATCAAATTTCCTACATGTAGTTCTATCTAATGTTTCCAAAATTCTTGAGTCTTGTATGTTAATGCAATTACCTTTAAATGCTTGTTAATTGAGCATTACAAGATCTCAGCTTAATTTTATGAAATTAAATAATTTTTCTACTACTTTATTTTAGTTACTTTCAAAAGGAGTTTAAATATATTAATGTGAGGGATAAACTAGAAATACATTAATTAAATGCAGGACCTATCAAATGAAAAACACATTCAGAAATCTGTCTGTAAATGAACAGATAATTGAAACACAGATCTGATTTATTCCTGACAGGAGTCCAAACTGTTCTAATGACTGTTGTTTTTGTGTTGTTGTTGCTGGGTTTTGTTTGTTTGTCATGTTTTGTTTTGTTTTGTTTTCATCCAAATTATCATTTCTACTGAGGGAAACAGGAAACACTGTGATTCCTTACAGCAGTTCTTTCTTTCATAATTTAAAGCAGTCAGGAAGCCAAAGATTTAATCATTTGAAGATTCATTGTACTTTGGGGGAACATTGCACAATTCTGAGTTGTTTTAAATAGTCCCAAACTTTATCATTTCTAACCTTACATATCTGGTGTTTATGTTAAAGATCACATGGTTCTTGACAGCAAAAGTCCTTGCAGTCACTGAAAAACAGGAAAAAATAACATAAATAATAAAATAAAATAATAAAATAATAAAATAATAAAATAATAAAATAATAAAAAAAAATAAAAATAAAATAAAATAAAATATCCATAAGATCCCTCTTTCATAGATTGCTGATGTTTTATAATGTCATAATGTTATAAGGAAACTACTAGCTCTTCCCTTCCCTTCCTTCCCTTCCCTTCCTTCCCTTCCCTTCTTCCCTTCCTTCCCTTCCCTTCCTTCCTTCCCTTCCTTCCCTTCCCTTCCCTTCCCTTCCTTCCCTTCCCCTTCTTCCTTCCCTTCCTTCCCTTCCCTTCCCTCCTTCCCTTCCCTTCCCTTCCTTCCTCTTCCTTCCCTTCCCTAGAAACAGTTTTGCTTAGAGAACCAAATGTGTCAACATGAAAAATGATAGGTATTTGAAAGTGATTACAATAATAGTAATTAATAATATTAATAATAACAATAACAATGACAACAACGACAATAATATATAATAATCCCCTGGATACATTTATTTAAGAGTATTGCTGCTAATTAGAAATATTGATAATTAATCAGCAGAAACATTTAATTATCCAAGTCAGGAAAAGATTCACATTCGTGATTTTGACAGTGGGAACCTGGTAGACAAAAAGAAGGCTTTGTAGAAGAACTCATCTGTGAGTTTTCACTTATCAGTTACATCCAGAGAATGTTTGTCCTGAAAACAACCATTTCATAAAGACTAATAATTTACATAATTTCCCCACATTTTCTAATAAACAGATGCTAGCACAGTATAGAAATAGAAAGGCTTGCTTACATATCTAGTGTTTTAAAGTTTGTCTTTGTTCAGATAAAATTATAAAATATATTGATTCTCAATTTACATTTTGCAAATTTAAATGGAGAATGGATGTATGCCCTAGACAGTAATTGAGCTGGAGAGGTATTTAACATCCAAAGCATCAATTAACATTTGCTAGTTTGTGCACCGTTGATTGTGAACTACAGTTAAGGTGTAGTGTTTTTTGTTTGTTTGTTTGTTTTGTTTTGTTTTGTTTTGTTTTTCCAGAGAACTCAGCTTTCGTTTTATCTGGTGTTAGGACCTTCATGTTAATAACTGTGTGTTAATGATTTTGTGCCACATCTTTTTCAAATGTATAACATCAACAAAGCAAAAGATTTTCCAGTTTGTCATTCTAAGAAGTATTAAAATGAGTGTTTTTTTTTTTAATTTAATTTTATTACTATTATTTTATTTTAAAAGAAATAAACATCTTGTGCTAGAGTTATGTTCACTTCACTAACCTAAACTTGATATTTTTCACTGACAGATAATTGTGATGATCAGTTGGTGTCTGGTTTGCCTCAGTCATCATTCAGCAGTTCATCAGAGCTGTCTAGCAGTCACAGCCCTGGATTTGCAAGGCTCAATCGAAGAGAGGGTGAGTGTGCTTAATTGGTTGATTGATTTTTTTTTATTATTTTTTAATAAAATAAAATAAAATAAATAAAATACAGTATTTTCTTACCTGTCCACAAAGTTGAAATGATGCTTTGTGAGTGTGTTTGGGGATACTGAGGCAGGAGAGACTAAAATTTGTTATTTTAAGGAGAGAGGAAAGGTAAAACAGCTAATCTCAAATAACTCACTACATTTAGTTTTCTTTGTGGCAACATTTTGTAAAGATTTTACTAATTTTCATGTAGGGGATTCTTCCTGAATGAATCTGAAATCTTCATGTGATTTTCCAGCATTAAACATAGACAGCTTTGGACATATATTTGTGCCTATTCCAAAAACATCTTTTAAAATTATTTTTGTTTCTAAGTAAAACAAAACAAAACAAAACAAAACAAAACAAAATAAAATAAAATAAAATAAATAAATAAATCTATTTTCTCATAGAGGCGAAATACAGGATATGCAAAGATATGAGTGTTATTTAATGTCTTTATGTAAGGAATTAGAGATAAATGCATATTCCAGCTGGAAAGACAGGGTCAGATATTTAGAAAATAGGTTTTAGAAAATGTTTGATACTTTTCCTGGAAATTTAAGATCCTAGTTATTGTAATTTTTTATTTTTTTTTTTTTTCACTGAATATAATATTATATTGTTCACTGAGAAAGTGGAAAAATATGTAACTATCATATGGTCCAATTTTTTAGTAAAGGAAAAGAAACCTTGCTATTAAGTTATCAGTTGTATTACAGTTATATATCAGTTATATTATGCTGACAGCACAATATCATCTCCATTTTTTTTTCTGATTTACTAATTAAACGTAGATTTTCAGTTGTTTTAGACTAAAAATTTCAGATCGATTATGGGACATTTTTTTCTTTTGTTAAATGCCCTTAAAGTTTGTTAGACATTTGCTATTACACTTGAACATTTGTCATAAAAGATCCAGAGATTTTTCATTTTTACTGAAGGAACTAGTATCTTTTATTTAGTGTTATCTTTACTACATGAATGAAGAATTTCTTCTAAGTAGTGTAAATATGTTTTCTGTTCCTAATGACAAAAGTCTTATCATATTTTCTCTGTGAAAGACATCTCTCCTGAAGGTTCGTACAGTATCTGTTTGCTGATATAAATTCTGACCAAAAAAAAGTAAAAATAAAACTAATAAAAAAAAGGATTTTAAAGTGTCAAAATGCATCACGTTAAACTTTGTGCTATGTTGGTAGTCTATTTTATAATGAGTTCATAAGTCACATTAAAGATAAATATAACTGCACTGAACATTAGAAGATTAAATTAAGTTTGCATTAACTTCAAAATATTGAGCAATCTCAATAGTCAGCCTCATTAGCCAAATGTCCAGAAGCTCAGTTATTCCTGTCACTAACATAAGATTTCAATTTTTTATTTTATTTTTTTTATTTTTTTTTCCCACCACACCAATGAGGTTCTTGTTCTTAACATCAAAGTACTAATGCTAAGAATGAATAAATAATAAATATCTTTAGGAAGGATATTATTAAAATCTGGCAAGATATATATTATTGGTAAATAAAATCTCACTGATGACATACCTAAACATAATACTCTATTTTAAAGTTATGGCAAAACAGCTAAATTTCAGTTTGAAATTAATTCAGTTTGAAATTAATTAATATATCTAAGAGCATATGTTACTGTTTTGAATTACCTTTGTCTGTTGTTTGTAAGCTATGTTCCAAGTATAGACTATGTTCAAGGATATTTTAAATCTCAACTTTCTGACAATTAGTAAACTGAGAACAAGAGCAAACATTGGCTTTTCTAAGAATGAGTTGCTGGGGACACTGACTTCTGTTTATTTATTACCCAAGAGGAAATAAATAAATTAGTTCAGAGGTAAAGAAAACACACTTAAGATGTTATGTCTTATATCACAATCTAACTTTAATGTCAGCATTAAGACAGACAATAAGAACTGTACTGGTTATTTAGAGACATTCAAATAAACCTGTTGTATTTGGCTTACATGACAAGGCTTTGTTAGCAGGGGTTGCTGGGGAGACCTCTGAGAGAATAGTACAAAAGCCGCCCCATGTTAGATAAACACCGGTTTCAGCCAGCTCCAATATGGGACCAGCTGCTGTCCAGAGCTCAACCAATAACTGTGTCATTTTCACATCTCTGAGAGCAGATTCAAGAAAGGGAAAAAACTGCTCCATCACAGCAGATGGGAGAGTGAGGAGCGAGAAACAGCTTTGAACCCAGTGTCACTGCAGAAGTTGAGCAGGAGGTGTTCCAGGTGCCAGAGCAGAAATTCTGGTGCCACCTGTGGAGAGGTCCCTGGTGGACTGGGCTTTTCCCTTGCTGCCCATGGTGTACCACAGCAGAGCAGATCTCCATAATGCAGCCTGTGGAGGAACCCATGGTGCAGCATGTAGATATGACCTGAAGGAGGCCATGGCCAGTGGAGAACACCTGCTGGAGGAGACTTCAGGTCAGACTTGTAGCCTAGTGGACCACGCAAGAGCTGGTGATCTGGCAGGAGCTGCTTCCTGTGGGGGAACTGTGCTGGAGAAGTTTGTTCCTGATGAATGGATCCTGTGGTACATACCCATATCTGGAACAATTCTTGAAGATCTGCTGCCTGTGGGAAGCCCACTGAGGATCAGTTCAGGAAGGACTGTATCCCATGGGAGGGAGCTCGTGTTGAAGCAGAGGAAGAGAGTGGCTGTGTAGGAGCAGTGGAGACAAAGTACTACAGACTGACTGCAGCCACCATTCCTCGTTCCCCTGAGCAGCTCAAGGGAGGAGGTGGAAGAGAGTGGATGGGAGAGAAGATGTTTTTAGTTTGTTTTTCTGTTTCTCATTGTTCCAGTCTGCTAGTGATAGGTAAGAAATTTCATCAATCTCATGCTGAGTCTGTTTTGCCCATAAAGATAAATGTAGAGTGATCTCCCTGTTCTTATCTCAACCCTTGAGCTATTTTCATCGTATTTTCTCCTCCTTTCCCTTTGAAGAGAGGGAGTGAGAGAGTGGTTGTGGTGAAGCTCGGCTGCTCAGCTGGGTATAACCACCACACCAGTTTACCGTATTAAATTCAAATATTTCATTTTACATCAATATATATAGCTGATAAGTATGTAACGAAATTAACTTATAACAATACTTTGCAATAACAAAAATATATCCATTCTTGCATCTCTGTGATTCCACATGACATCCTCATCTCCAAATTAGAGAGATACATATTTGATGGGTGGGCCATTTAGTGGATAAGGAATTGGTTTGAAGGTCACATCCAGAGAGAGGTGATCAATGGCTCTATATCCAGGTGGAGGCCAGTGGTGAGTGGTGTGTTCTAAATATGTGTTCTAAAAAATCTTATCTAACATCTGAGTTCTCACTAAACTGTATCTTCCTAAAGATATTGATCTTCCTAAAATATACATGTAAAAACTTGTTTGCATTTCACAGAATCATTGTATGGTTAAAGTTGGAGTGGACCTCTAGAGGTCATCTAGTCCAACCCAATTGCCAAGCAGGGTGAACTAGAGCACATTGCACAGGATCATATCCAGGTGCATTTTGAATATCTCCAGACTAGACAACTCTACAACCTTTCTGGGCAGCCTATTCAAGTTCTCCATTACCCTTATAGTAAAATATTTCGTCATAGTCAGATGGAACTTCCTTTGTATCAGTTTTTGCCCATTGCCTTTTGTCCTGTTTCTGGGCACCAATGAATAGAGTTTGGCCCTATCTGAAGAGGGCCAACACAATCCCTTCAGATATTTATACATATTGATAAGATCCCCTCCCGGTCTTCTCTTCTCTAAACTAAACGGCCCCAGCTGTCTCAACATCTACTCATGTGACAGGTCCTTCAGCCCTCTAATCATTTCCATGGTCCTCCTCTCGACTCATTCTAATAGTTCTTTCATCTTGTACTGGGGAGTGCAGAACTGGATGCAATAATCCAGTTGAGAACCCACCAAGACTGAGTAGAGGGGGAAGATCACCTCCCTTGACCTGCTGGCAGCACTTTTCCCAATGCACCCCAGGAGACCATTAGCTTTCTTGGCCACAAGCGCACATTTCTCTAATAGTTAACCTGCTCTCTACCAGGACTTCCAGGTCCTTCTCCACAGAGCTGCTTACTAGCATGCCAGCCCCCAACCTGACTGGTACATGGGGTTATTCTTTCCTAGGTGAAGGACCCTGCACTCGCCTTTGCTAAATTTCATGAGGTTCCTCTCCACCCAACTCTTCACCCTGTACAGGTCCCTCTGAATAGAAACACACCCATCTAGGTTATCAGACATTCATCAGGTTTTGAGTTATCAGTAAACTTGATAAGGGTGCACTCTTTTCCGTAATCCATGTCATTGATGAATACGTTGAACAAGACTGGTCCCAGTATCAACCCCTGTGGGACTCTGTTACCTGCAGGCCTCTAACTAGGCTCTGCCTCTGATTACAGTCCTCTCAGCTCTGCCATTCAGTTAGAGTTCTCGATCCACCACACTGTCCACACATCTATAACAGACTCCTTGAGTTTGTCTGTAAGGATGTTACAGAAGACAGTACTGAAGCCTTGCTGAAGTCAAGATAGACCACATTCACTTCTCTCCCCTCATCTACCCAGACTTTTGACTCTTTTTTTTTTTTTTAATGTACTAACTATTGTTTGTACCATGCGTTTTTTTTTTTTTTTTTTTTTAGAATTATCTTTTCCTTCACATTGTCCTCTAAAGCATGTGTACATTATAAATGATCGTGGCTTTACCTTTGGCATCTATCTACCTCAAGTAGATACAAAGCAATAGGATGTACAATTATAAGACTCCTAGCTCTCTGTTTTCACTTTTTGTATATCTCAGGGTCAGAGAACGCAACAGGGTAAAGATCTTATTCATTTTGCACATTCAAAACATTTTATTTGGCTTAGTAATCAGACTGGTTAGGTTATTTTTGTTTCAATTAGAAATGAT